AAGAAATGAGAGATAACACTGCCGGTGGATGGAAGCACTGATCCTGAGCTAAGAAAAAAAGCAAATGCGCTTGCTGAACCAGAATGGTTCTACACTATAGGCCTCCCTTCTGATTTTCCTCTAGATTCCATAATGTCATGTTAACGTTCCAACCTTCTTTCCTTGAGACAGCTAAATCATCTTGTATACTCCACTAACAAGAAAAAATAAGCAAGTCACAACACCCAACACATCTGGGCGTGGAGCTTAACCTAGCTTCCTTCTTGAGCAGGACACGTTGCCTCTTTGGACACTATCCCAACCTTATTGACTTGTTTGCTCAGTACTGCTATTTAAATAGAAACTTTCCCGTCAGTCATCAAACTGAAGTAGAATGGTAGGTATTAGGGAATGAAGAAACTTATTTTCTATGCCTTCAACCGAAAAAATTCCAATTCTAAGTATAAAGTAACCCTAAAGTAGATGGCTGCTGTCCATTCCCTGAGGGATGTTCTAAGTGGACAAGGAGAAAGCACACAGCTTTCTCACATCTAGCTTCCTTAACCACTAAAGGCCAGAGGTTGAAACATGAGAGCTAGCCTTCAAGGGTCACTTTTGTAAGCTGCATTAGTCAACATTAAGTGAAATTTTCTATTTGCATTGCCTATTCAGAGGTGTTACTTAAATTTTGAATGCAGTCTGGAAATCACTAGATAAACTGTGAGCTATTATTAGATCTATCCATTTCTTGACCATCTCCTTTTCAAAGAAACTTGCAAACTCTGAGGATCACCGAAAAACAAAGAACCTGGACCCTACCAAAGGACTTGCCACTGTCATTGGCATATTCCAAAATATAAAGAACTTTTCTTAAAAGATTCTTTAGATGATAAGTCCAAAATTCTTTCACACCATCTCAAGAGATAAGTGCTTTTTTTTTCTGGCGAGAGGAGACTGGATCTTAGTACATGGTGTTAATTACTTCTTCCACAAGGAGGAGCTAGAATCTTAATTCTAATTCAGTTACTCAAATTTATCTGGTTTACATGAAACTTTAAAAATGTAAAAATAATGGTGTGGATTGTACTGTCAAGGTATCGCATAGAAGACATGAAACAGTATTGCTATTTTCAGCTTAAAACTTCATGTTTTAAAGAAGAAAATTGCAAATGAAAGAACATAGATGTTTGGAGAAAACTTTTGAACCTATGGATAAGCAATATTCTTGAAAATTTGGGTAAGGCTAGGAATAATAAAGGAAGGTGACTGTATTGCCTAGATAACTGAAGTTTGCTAATTATAACCTTTGTTTAGGTGTGACCAGAATGTCTGTATTTGTGAATGAAACTTGGGTAATATTTCCAGTTCCAGGGTTAAGCTGAAAGGCGAGCCAGTATACCTTGGCCATAAAGCTTCAAAATATGTGTAATATCTGACCCAATGGAGAATGCCCAAAGATAGAAAGTGAATATTCCAGTATGCCACACAAACAAATGATAAAACTAGCATTTGGAAAATCCAAGATCACAAACACAAGGGAAGGGATTCATTATCCAATAAAACCTTGTCAAAATTGAATAGTAGGTTGGGCAAAGGAAAAACAAAAAAGTGATCTAGAGCCACATTTCACACCATGTCACAACATACTCCAAATGAATTATTTAAAAAAATGTTAAGAATAGAATGTTCCATTCATAGAAAGGAGTATCTTAGCTATTCAACAAACAGAAGAAATGATGAGACGATTCTAGTGTTTTGCACAATCAAAAGCAATGCATTACGAACTGAAAGAAAAAGACTGTGAAAAAGAATTTGCTGTTTTATTCTGATAGAAGCCAAATGTCCAAAATTTTTAAGGAAGTTTTGCAACTTTCTAACACTAAGATCCATCCCCTGATAGTCTAAGATATGAAAAGGACGAGGAAGGGGCAGCTAGATGGTGCAGTGGATAAGAGCACCGGCCCTGGGGTCAGGAGGACCCGAGTTCAAATTCGACTTCAGACATTTGACACTTACTAGCTGTGTGACCCTGGGCAAGTCACTTAACCCCAACTGCCTCACCAGAAAGAAAAAAAAAAAAATGTACGAAGCAGAAGGTAGAAATCTTAACTATACGTATATAGTTATAAATATATTAATAGATAAAATATAAATAAAATAACTACAAATCTAGAAAAGTATATTTTTTAAAATTATGCACACTTTACTTTTCTTAATAATTTAAGTTTCAAAATTTTGAAATAAAAAAATGACCTAATGGAAAGGGAGAGGGGAGCAACCTCCTCTCAATGAAAGACATTTCCAAAGTCAGTTCCTTCCTATACACACCAACCAGCAAAACATTGTAACTTATACTATATAATGGGGCGAGAGGGAGAAGAGGAGGAACACAAGAACTAAAAAGAGGTTAACACACAAATTAATTTTAATGCTGGTATAAATAGCTTCAATGAGAACTTCAAAAACCTTAATACTATCTAGTGGTAAAAAAAAAAATGGCAATAGATAATTAAAAATTAAATACATTAAATAGATCTAATAAAGAATATCCTTTTAAAATCAGAATAACTTTAAATTAGCTGTTGCCCCATTTCTAGTACTTTTTGAAAATAGTATTTGCAAGAAAGAAGTAAAACAACAATATATTGTTACCTATACAGAATTACCTAGCTAGTGGTTTTAAAAAAGTGAAGACAAAAAGCAAGCAAAATTCATAAAGACAGCATCAAAAACAGCATTTACACAAGACTAAAGAAACCTCTACCAGATACATTTAATTTTTAATTATGAACAATATGCATCCCTGTACACATGTGACCAGAATTATGAGCCACCTTCATACCAAAGGCAGCTGAAGGCATCCCACGGGTTCCCTATCTCTCCAGACTAGGGAGGAAAGAGAAGTATGCCGAACTTTGACCTCTGTGTTCACCCTCCCCACCTCTCCTCATTTTTCCAGGATATTCATCAATGAGACACCCCTCATTAGATCTATGACAGGAAAGAAAGAACTAAGCCCAAGCTGGAACTCAATGAATTTTCCCACAGAAAACAATAGAATGGGTACAGGGAGGCAGTCGGGTATGACGCAATGAACAATGGCTTTGGTATTGAGAGAGATAGGAGTTCAGATCTCACCTCAAACACTTCCTAGTTGTGTGACCACTGAGTCAATTATCTCTGAGCCTCAGTTTCATTTACAAAATGGAAACAACAATACCTGTAGTACTTACCTCACAGGATTATTGAGAAGACCAAATGAGATACTCTGCAAATATCATAGTACCATGGCCATTATTATACAATTAATACTACAGTGAAACTTCATTATAGGCTTACTAGGATTTTATGAAATCCTAGAAAACCAACCACCATTTATAACCTTGTTTCTACATGAAAATGCAGTCTGTGCTACAGACATGAGGCTTATTCCCAACACCACTTAAGAGCCTTCATGGAATCCAAGGAGTGCCCACAGAGATGGCTGGTGCTTCCTGGACCACTGGGTAGATTCTCACCAACCATCCCCAACAAGCACTGCCCCCTCCCTGCCACCACGAGACCTCCCACAGACTGAGGACAGAGCTGAGGCTGCATCTTGGGAGACATGCCCCCATGGATGAGGTCAGACCCATCAAAGACAGAGCTGGAATTTTCACAAGGCATAGGATAAAATACAAGGCCCTCCCCCGCTGCTTTCCGTCCTTTCATGAGACACTGTGTTCTAGTCCAACTAGGTAACTAGCTGATTCTGAACCTTACTCCACATCTGCAAAGGCTGTCCTGAGCTTGCAGTGCCCGTCTTCCTGTGTCCCTCAGATTCTTGGACTGCCTTCAAGGCTCAGCTCAAGAGCCTCAAGGGTGGGGCACTCCTCCTGGTAGTGGCCTCCCTTCTTCCACTATTCCTAGACACATCTCCCCTTTGCCTCATTCACTGCTTGGAGGGGCAATGTGGTGTGGTGACCAAAAGTACTCAACTGAGACTCAGGCAGGACAGACTGTTCTCTTTAACCTCAGTTTCCTCATGTGTAAAATGGAGATAATCAAAGATGAAGCGTGAAGCAGTCTGTAAGCCTTGAAGTAGCATGTTAATGGCGGCTATTAACGTACACCTTCTATTTCCCCCAGAACGGCAGCTCCTTGAGAGCTATGACAGCCTGGTGCATAGTAGTTGTCTAATAATGTTTAACTGAATCAGAAGTGACATTAGAAATCTAGCTCCTCTGCCTCTCCGAGTTAGCTAGGAAATCAAGTGTATCCTAAGGCGTCATCAGCTCCTTTTTGTACAGCTTAGGAGAAGCTGGTGATGCAGAGGGAGCACCAGGCCCCATCCTTTACAAACCCCATCTCTACAGCTGCAAAGTGTCAAGCACAAATGCCATCACACGTGAAGAACTAAGGCTTAGCAATAGCTGAATCTCGAGTTAATGTGAGTTAGAATGTTGTGCATCTTGTGAAATTCTCCAGCAAAAGTAGTTTCTTCTAAAACTCATTTTTAAAAGCAGAAGGCGGCTTCCAGCTCTTCCTCTGCATAGGATTCCTTCTCAACCTGCCTCCTCATTAGCATCACAGGGAATGTGAGCAGCTCTCCCATTATTTCAGGCTTAAATATAATGAACTGTTTGAAGAAGAAATGACACAAAAGTTGCTCTAGTCTTTGTCTGGCATTAGTAAAAACACCACAAATATTCAAAGAACAGTGAAAACAGATTATATTTATAGGCCAAAGGGATAACTTTCAATCATGTCCTATCAAGCAAAATCCTTTCTAATGTGTACTTGCATTCCTCATTTCACAAATTTAGCCCACACCTCTTCTTCCCTCTCTGGCAAGTGTACAAACGAGCGTACTATAATGTATCACGCCAGCTTTTACTGCTTGCCAAGTGAGTCCACAAAAATAGTCCCTTAATTTTCATGAATTTTTCATTAGTCTCAATTGACACAGCATCGCTTAAGTGGAAATAATTCGGCCACCCAGAACTTTCATCTTTTCATAAACGAGAAAGAAGCTAAAGACACAGAGGCAAGGACAACTTTTTATTGCTACCAGAAGGCTTTCATCAGTACAATGGTTCTGAGTGCAATACCTTCTTCAGACTGTGGAGAGAGCTCAAGATCCAGGAGGGGTCATTAAGAGATAATACACAGGGAGGGAAAAAGCTATCAGGATTTTCTTAGTTCAAACAACATAAAACTTTAGGTACTGAAGTTGATAATAAACACATTCAAGATTCAAAATCGTACAACTGCTCCCACATCTAGACAAGCAGTATCTCTTACTGATTATAATCAAGTGAAAAGTATGATTGGTTACAAAACAGCAGTTTATCTGATGCACCCCCAAAATATGAATAACTTTATCACAGACTTTTTTTTTTTTTACAAATTCTAAAAGTGACTTTTAGAAATCTAAATTAAGACTGCCCTAATCACATTTTACTCTAAGGTTTCACTTAAGATTTAAAAATTTTTTTACACAATAATTTAGTTTCCAATCTCAAGAGATCCAAAGGACCCAGTCTTTTTTACACCCATCTTGAAATCCTAATCAGTGTGGCTGGTGGCTTCTGTGCACCTCGGCTAGCTCTTAACACAAGCTCAAGTCTGGAGGCACCTTTTTCAGACTAGTAAAAATCTGAATCCAGGCCATCCATCACTTGCAACAACTCTGAACACCAAAGTGCTAAAGGAAACAATTTTCTGGTGTGATCTCTTTACTGGAAGTCAAAGGACAAAACAACACGCACAAGGCTAAGTTAAAGGAAACAGCAGGCTGAAGCAAGAAGAAATGGAAATTAAACAGGCTCCATCTGGCTAACAAATTTTGAATTTTCTTAATACTAAATATGAACTTTGACATGGACGACAGTTACATTAAATTTTAGCAGAGAACTGGAACTACAAAGAAACTTTATGCTACTTTTTTTTGTTTGATTTTTTTTGGGTCTTTTATAATTTTTTCTACTTTTTAGATGTTTAAGTGCTTCAATAATAGGTGAATTAGCCGCAAAGGAAAACAAGGTTTTTCTGGCTCACTTCAGTTCAGCCTGACAAGGTACGCCCCTTATACATCTTTGCTTGCTTTTGCATGTTTCTGTTCCCAGAGTAGCTTTCCTCAGCTTACTTAGAGGTAATACTTACTGTTACTATATGACAGAAACAGGCTGCAAAGGTGGACAAGGGGAAGCATTTCCCTCTTGCCTTGATAAATCAGTGCTGCACACAGAACCCACATTTTCTGAAGCATTATCTTCATTGTAGAGACGCTTGATTCCATCATAGAAATCATCTACTTCCATTTCTTCCACCTTGCGTTTAGCAGAGGCATGCTTGCATCCAGTGGTAGCTGGCAGATGTTGGTAGAAGACAGCTGTACCTCTGATTGGCACTTCTGGTTTGCTGTTGTCCTTGGAGAAGTCTGGGCCCGGGGCAGAGGAGGGGTGCAATCTGAACACTCCTCTGTCACAGGTCGCCAGGTTGTGCTTGAGAGGATGGTAGACATATACAGAATTGAGAGGCAGGGAAGACTGGAGAAGAGAGAGCTGACGCGCCACAAGCTCCCGACAGTGGATCAGCTGGGCACTATCCATCTAAACCAGAAAACGGCAGCAGAAGATTAATGTGAGCAACCACAGCGTTGGATGGTTAATTATTTTAGAGTGTCAGAGGGTTTTTGTTTGGTTTGGTTTTTTAAAACATTGGGAAAGGTAGCCTGGTACAGAACAAAGCGTCCTGGACTTCGGGGCTGAGGGGCCTGGGTTTAAATCCTATGGCTAATGTAGGATCCTAGATTTTAGAGTTTGAAGTGACCTTGGCGGCCACCTGGTCTAACCTATTACCCCCAAGGGAATCCTGACGATGACAGGTCTGAAGACCTCCTGTGGCTGGGAGACTCATCTCTGATTTCAGACAGGCCATTCCACTTCTAGACAGCTCGAAACATAAAGACATTTTTCCAGACATTAAGCACGAATTTGTCCCTTTAAACTTCCACCCAATGGTCCTGGTTCTTCCATCTGGGGCAAAAGAAAACAGACCTAATGTCTTCTAAGAAAGAACACCTGAAGATAGTCACTACAGGTTTCTCCCCACCCCACCCCCCAGCCTTCTCTTTTCCAGGCTAAATACCTCAGTTTCCTGGGCATATGTATGACTCATAACCAAGGTCTTTTACCATGCTGGCTAACCTCCTCTACACGAGACAGCTTCTCAATAGCCTTTGTAAACTATGGCACCCAGAACCCAACATTATTTATTAACTACTGTGACCAAGTAATTGTCAACTGGACAAGAGACTCAAGAAGGACAGGACAGGTGCCTTCGAATAACTGAAAGGCTGTCATGTGGATGTGTAATTAGACTTACTCTGGCCCCAATGAGCATAACCAGGAGCAATGGGTAGAAATGGCAACGAGACAAATTTCGGTTTGATAGCAGGGAAAACTGCCTACCCCAAAGTGAAAGGGAGGCAGTGGGCTCCTCGCGCACTGGCAGCCTCTAAGCAGAGACTAAAGAACACTTGTCTGATGTGCTGTGGCAAGTTCCCTTTCAGGAACAAGATGCACTAGATTCCCGCTGACGTGTCTCTCACATCTAAAATTCTGTGATGAGGAAGTGGGGCAGCAAAGGAGGGGCCTGCACTTCTGCTCACAGCCTTGGCTGGCTTCTCTTCCTGACCCGCCCTCCCCAACCTGACATCTTCACGTATTCATCACTTCTCTCTGGATGACTGCCAAATCTAGCTCTAAGCCTAACTTCTGTCCTTCCTGCTGGACATTTCCACCCAAATGTTCACCAGCAGTTCAAACTCAGCATGTTGAAAATGAACTCTTCAAATCCCCGATCCAATTGAGCCTTCCCGACTTCCTTCCTACAGTTCTCCTAATCAGTTAGCATTTAGTAAGCACATACTCCTGTGTTCCACCCTGGGAACACAAACATAAGGTACAAAAGCATTCACAAGGAGCTTCTGGTCTAAATTCCTGACAACCTCAGTTGACTCTGACTTTCTCACTCTCCTTCTAGTGCTCCCACTGCATTCCTCTGGACACTTGTTAAGTCCTAATGATTCCTCTAAAGTAGCCCAGCTAAACCTTCAGAGGATCATAGACTCAGAGTTGGAAGAGACCATTCATTCCCACCACCATCACCCTGGTTTAGGCCCTTACTGCCTGACCTAATGAAAAAGCATCCGGTGTCCCGTCCTGCCACCCCAAATCTATCCTACGGGTTATGAGATGAATATTCCTGCATACCATTTTGATCACACTGCTTTGCTGCTCAAAAGTCTTCAATGTCTCCCCAAATAAAGTGCAAATTTCTCAGCCTGGTGTTCCAGACCCTTCACAAGCCAGCCCCCACCCACTCTGACTATAATCAAAGAAGCCTACTTGTAGATATGCCCTAAACTTTCCAGGTCAAAGTCTCTGCTCCTGCCTTTCCAACCTCTTGGAAAGACTTCCCTTCTCCATTTCCATTTGTTAAAGCACCACCCATCCTTCATATGCAAGGACGAAAGCGGCAGTGTCAGAGAATCCTGAGGAGATTTGTATGAAGTGACAAAAATGAAATTAGCAGACCTAAGAATAACTAAGCCAATAACAACACTGTAAAGAAAAGCAGCTTTGGAAGACTTCAAAACTATGCTCAATGCAATGACCAACCACAAAGCTAAAGGTCAGAAGCGGCATTTTGCCTATCGCTAGCATCAAGATACTGAATGGGACATATGACTGTGGACACAGCTAATGTAGGAATCTGTTTTGCTTGAATATGCTTCTCCGATACAATGGCTTTTCTTTGCATTTTCTCCCAAAGGGAGGATGAGCTAAGTAGAAGGCTAGTGACAGGGCTGCCACTCCCACCCCCAAACAAAAGAGGGTGGTGAAGCACTTTTTTAAAATACACATAAGAGGGAAGGTCAGCAGGAAACACAAACACGTAGAACATGTTTGAAAGTTACATATTGAATTTATTATGCCCTTAAAAGAAAAAGCAAGTTGTCGGCTATCAAATGTACAATACCCTTTTTCAGTTCTATTTTGTATATAAAAATGCTCATTTCATTTGGCGTTTGTTGAATCCAGAATAAAAAAAATACTATCCATTTTTCAAGGCCCAATTCCAACGAAACCTTCTGTGCTTACCCCCGATATCAATGAACTCTGCCTCCTCTCAATCTTTTTATGTATATCACTCTTACAGTCTCACTGTGTAGTACTTTGTCGAGACACCTAAAATCTCCCAGAAAGGACTATATTCTTCGAAGGCTCACCTCTTTGTGTTCCTCCAATACCTGGTAGAGTGCTTTGCACCAAGTACTCAAATCCGTGGCAAACAGGCCAGTGTGTTAGGGAAAATAACACTTCAAGCAAAAGCACCCTGGCTAATGAATGATCTTTCCCTCTTACAATAGGAAAAAAGATCAGACTATGCCAGCATTCAGCTATAAAAAACCATGCTTCCCCTTTCATAAGCTACAGGAAACTAGGGTCTACTTGGGCATCCTGGACTCTACTCCCTGGCTTTCTGCCTTCTGCTCTGGAAACAGCACAAGAATAATAGCAATATGGTCAGCTGCTCGGGGACTGCCCTCACATCCCTGTGGGTCCTAGATCAGAACTCCCAGGCCTGGCTGATGCCTCTCTTCACAAGCCGTCTCCCTCAATTTCAACAGAAGCTCTCCAAGGACAGTACTGTCTTCTTTCAGTATCGGCATTCCTAGTGCCCAACACAATGCCTATCACATAGTTAATAAATGCTATTTCACTTCTTTCAGCATAGAAAAATACAAGAAAGAACTAGAGACCAGGCCTGTAGATGTCACTGATATGGGGTGTTCCCAGATGAGAAAATTCCCTTCCAAACAGAGCACTGAGAAGTTACGTGACTTTCCCAGGGTCACCCTGCCAGGAAGGGTCAGAGGCAGGACCTGAACCTGAGGTCAATCGGCTCTGAAGCCAACACTCAATCCACTCTACCACATGGCCCCTAGAAAACAGTACCTTAGTACAATGAGCACAAGAGCTCAAAAATAACCAGTAATAACACATGAAAATAGGAGGTTCAAATATATGCCACCATACTGAGAATACTCAGGCTACAGATTTTTGTAGTAAGAAGTCTAACAACCTGGAAGTGGCCATGTACTTGATGTCTTCTTAACTTTAGGAAACTCACACCTGCATTCACTCATGATGATTCTGCCTTCCAATTATTATGTGGCCTCCCGGTCTCCACAGCGCTTCCCCATATGTCACCTCCTCCACCTCTCTAAAGAACTTGGTAAAGTTCCGGTGAACTTTACGAATGGACCCAGATACCACAAATACATCAATCCTTCTATAGTAGGCACCACCCCTACTCAAATGCCTATAATCAGGTACAATAATTCTAATTAATTGCCATTTTACAAAGGAGCATTTTCCCAAAGTCTGAGAGCAAGGCCATAATGTACTTGTTGCCCCTAGAGCCTCTAGAATCAAACACAAAGGCATGTAAAGCCCTTTACAAGCTGGCTCCAATTTCCCTCCACGCACCCTCTGTAGGCTCCAGCCCAAGCTGGCCTGCCATTCCGCATACATGGTACTCCTATGCACAAGCAACATATCCATTGCTGGAATACTTTACCCTTTTTTCCTTTAAAACATATAGCTCAAATGGAGTTACCATCTACTACAGAAAGCCTTTCCTGATCACCCCCTTCATCCCTCCCCACTCCACTCCCTTGTCCAAACTGCCAGAAACACATTGTACTTCCCAGCACACTGTCAGCTCCTTGAGGGAAGGAACTATTTCATTTTTGGCTTCCTGTCTCCAAAAGCACCTAGCACTTACTAGGCAATTAATAAATGCTCCTTTATTGACTGATGTAACCAGGGCAAAAATGATTAGAAATTTTTTAAACAGAAAACATAATGTGGAGTCACCTGGTTCTTCCAATAGGCAGAAACCGTTCTCATAAAAGTAAAAATTCATATAAGCAGAACTTTGTACAATGTTCTTACTATTTTATTCTTCAGTTTTCTTTTTTCTCTGACATTGACGTTTCATACACAGCTCCTATCTCCTCAACGCTGCTCCCTGCACTGCTAAGGTGATTCCGGGCCATCATGACCCTTCCAAATCCTATTCCACACACAGAAACTCCAAGTTTAGATTACCAATGAAAGACAACTAAAACCTGTTGGGGAAAAACTTCTAAGTTGTGAAATAAAGTATTTAAGAACCTAAGAACCCTGAGCTGGGGTTGAGAGGAAGAGTGGAGAAGGCTACCCAAGGGCTGGAAGATCTCTGTACTGTCACTCAATCCACGTGTCTGCTTCTCCATTCATAGTCACCTGCCCCTTGCACTTCAGTCAGAATTCTCAACTTATAAGTGACCACAATGACTTCACCATTTTTTAGTTGAAACAAAAACTAGTTTAGAAAATGAAGGTTTTCAAAAACATTAAGTGTTGGCCTGAAATTCCAATCCCAGGTTTGTAAAGGATGCCTTACTAGATGTAACTATGGAGCTGCTGCAATGAAGGTGGTCAGTTTCAACATGCTGAATAAAGTTAAACAGTTAACTTTTTCATTTACAACAAAGACGAATTCTTTACTTCTCTGACAAGTATTTTCTTGCCACTTGTAATGCTATTAAACAACGCTTACTCAATCCATGGAGCATATAACCACTACCTTGAAACTAACTACAGTAGCAGGCATTTTTCTCTCTAACAAGTCAAAAGAACATGTATCAACAGGGATCATACGAACTGCTCAAAATTCTTAGAAAAATTATTTTGGGAAGTATATGCTAGAGGGAAGGGAAAGACCTGTCTAGCTCACTGGATTGATTGATCTGTACTCAGTTTCTCCTGTCCAATCAATAGTGTATAAGAATACATCTGAAATAAATTATCTGATTATTTACTACCTATAGGATTCTACTACCAAATGGAACTGAAATGAAAACCAATTATTTCCCTTGGCTTCCAAATAATTTCAGCAAACAGCTACTAAGCTTGCACCTACCTGTGCCTTCTGGAGCAGCTCAATTGTAAGAGCAAGCCAGTCAGGAATAAGCTTCTCCATCTCCAAACTGACCATGGCGAGAGCTAACATGGACCCCTTGAATGGCAGAAGCTGGCTGCAGGCCAGACACTGGAGGAGCTGCTTCGTAAGGACCGCCAGGTGCTGAGACGGGCTCAGTTTGGGCAAGCCAAACAGTAACTGGGGCCTGGTTGACACTGCAATTGCGTGAAACTGAAAAACAAGAACATCATCACCCTTAAGTCCACTTCTGGCAGAAGTGACCACGGCCAGCTCGCTGAGGGGGAACAGTGCGGCGAGTCTACAATTTATCCAGATGCCATTATCTGATTATCTAAAATTCAGACTGTGGGTCTTGACCCCATATGGGGTCGTGAAAAATTCGGCAAAGGTAAAAGGTTTCTGAACGTGCAACAACCAAAAATTAATTCGAAATCAAATGTGTAACGAATCCGAGGTGTTTCTGGTAGTGTCTGCCCGTGTTGCCTCGAGCAACTTCACTGCAGCCTTGGTTCTGAACACACAATATGCATACTCCGCACGTCACATGCCGCTATGCCCACACAGCGACAACAAACACCGCCAAAACTCAAAAAGGGGTCTCCAATGGAAAAAGTTTAAGAAGCCCTGATCTAAATCATACCTTGGACAGCCATTACTTCAATTTTCTTTTAATTTTTTAAAAGCAAAAGGGGCAAAAGATCCACAAGAGAAAAAAACAGCACAGATTTAAATAATAAAGTCTATTTACAATATGAAGGAAATCCAATGGCGTAGCTGTATGAAGGTCCCAATTCAGCTTATCCAAAATGATTCTCTCCATTCTCAGAATTTCCGATGAAGAACAGCCACAGAAACTGTCTCTGGCCAACACCTTCAGCACTGGAATTCTCTAGTCAATAAAACAAAAGAAGCGTGGAAAGAAAAAATTCACGTTCACGCCTGTCTTGTCAAGCAATTACATGAAAGGCAAATTAAAGAATTACATTTCATTTTATAAAAGGAAGGGAAGCAAGCTTTAAAAGAAAAAATTACCTCATCCTCCTCAATGGTCTTAGCAGCTAGGAAGAAACAGCTGATTGCAATACAATTTAAGTATTTTGGACGGGCCTAAGGCATGGGCAGAAAAAAAAAGAGTTAGAATTTATGGCTGCACAATCAGATGCTGGTTATGAAGACAATTAATCCACACTCTGTGTAACTCAACCCAAATCTTTACCTCATCCACGGACGCCTAACCAGATGCATTCTAGACTGATGAATTAACATCTAACCACTCCATTATGATCCGTGGAAAGAACAAATCAATATTCCATTACATGGAAAATAACTAAAAGCAAAAAAGAAAAAAGAAAAAACAAAGAAAATAACTGAAGCCGGTTAGCCAGAAAGCTTAATGAGTATCCAACAGGGGGCAAAGAAATCTTGGTTTTAGAACGGCCTGATCAAATGAGGTAGAAGCTAGACATGGTAGAAGAAAATAACATAACTACCAGGGAAAATAAATAAAATTTAAATATAAAAACAAAGTTCTAGGAGAGTAAAAATATCCTGTCATTGACAATATTTAATGAGTGCGAGAAGGGAGAAGAAAGAGGAATTTGCTATTTAAAAAAAATTTTTTTCACATGCCACAGATTGTAATCATTCAAAGAAGGGGAATAGACCAGTGAGGATCTTATGAATTTTCACCAAAAAAGCAAAAGAAATTAAAACAGTTAAAAAAAAAAACCCACCATAACAAAATAAACAAGTGAATGAGCTGGAATAGGGAGGAGGAAGAGGGAAATCCGAATAGGGAGGAAACTGCTTAGAGCTAAACAAAACACTGTAAGTGTTGACTAGAAAAGAAAAACAGAAGCCAAACTCAGAAACAGGGTTCTAGGCTGAGAGAAGGGACCAAACTGAAGTCTTCTATTCCAAGCAACAGAAGCTGCTGATGCTTCGGCAGACTCAAGCCTTTCCCCTCGCACCCCACATGGCCAGGCTGGGGCTCAATCTTTCACTTCTGCTTCCACACCCTTCTCTCTACTCACATAGTCACCGCCTTAGCTGAGGGTCTTGTCACTTTTCTCCTGGATTATTTCAGCAGCTTTCTACCTGGCCTCCCCGATTCAAGTCTCTCATTTCTTAGCAGTGAGTCTGTCTACACTACTGAAAAGTAATTTTTCTTAAATGCAAATCTAATTGTGCCACACTTCTGTGCTCCATCAATTTCCAGGGCTCCCTACTGCTCTTCCATTTGGTGCTCAAAGACTTTTCTGCTCTGGTCCCGACCTTCCCCATCCATCCCCAACCACATGCTCCAACCCCCTCCCCGGCCTTCTCTCTGCTCCTCCACACCGGCCCCTCGTGTGGGTCACTGCACAAGCCGCGTCCCAGGCCTCTTCACCTCCTCCTCGTGGAATGCCAAACTTCATTCAAGTCCCACCTTCTGTTCCCTCCCAAATTACCTTGCACTTCACTTTCTACTTCTTTGTATTCTTTCTCTTTCTACTTATTTCCTATACGCCCACATGGGCATGGGAGTTCCTCCTCTATAAACATGAGCTACTTGAGGAGACGGACTGCTTCATTTTTGTGCCTGGATCCCCAGTGAGTGGACCTAGTGCATAAGACGTGCTTAATAAATGCTTCGTGATTGAATGAAGGATCTCATCAGGAAAATGTGTGGGAGGAAAAGAAGATGATGGGATCACAAGTAAGAGCAGTGGTGCCCCTGTGAGTTCAGGAGGCAGCAAGCCTGGGGCCTCCAGCATTTCCACTGCACCTGCTTTAGCAAGTAAATGGGAGGACCCAGGATGACCAGTTAGGGAAGGATGAAGACCTGCATGGTTGGAGGGAACACTCAAATAGAGCTGATTACAGGTTCATTTGAAGAACTCAGCATATCAAAAAGCAATATATGTTATAGAATTCACTAACAACTCCTAGAAACTAGCTAAGTTTATTTTGAAAATATTTAATGACAAATTGGTGTTAGCTTTCATCATAGAGGAAGAATGTGACAGAGCCTTACAAAAGACAGTAAGCTGAAATGTCACTTAAAAGTTGACATATTGATTTTTTTTGTCATTATGAAATAAAGATAAAATTTCAGTTGCCACAAGCCAAACTGAATAGATTTTCTTCAGGGGCATTCTGAGCTTTTGGAAGGAGAAGCTAGGGTGCTCCCAGCCTTGGAAAAGGGAGGGGAAGAGGGGTAGAAATCACAGAGAATGCCTTCCAAAAGGTGGCACTGACAGACCTCCTCCAATCAGGCAATCAGCAACTTCATACAGCCTAATGCTGGACATTGCTCACAGATGCCTCAGAAATTTGGAATATAAATGATGCCCAAGAATTTGCTCAAGTCCCTCCATTTCTTTATGATTTCCTATCAAAAAGAGTTCTCCAGATAAAATGTGTAAAATTCGAATTCCCAAATTATACCTTCTCAGGATACAAATGACAAATCCCGAATTCCTCAATTTTGTTTATACTCTTGATGATATAAACATACACAGATATATTCAGGCCAACGACCTCTCTCACTCTCTGGGCCTCTGTGTCTTCATCTGTAAATCCAAGAATTGGACTACGTGAATTTTGAAGTCTCTTTCAAATCCGAATCTATGACCCTCTATTGTTAGCTCATCTTACAGGACACCAAACCCGGTTCAGAAAAGTTATGCGACTTGTTCAAAGTCCCACAGATGTGAGCCTGGAGGGCTGCCTCATGAAAGTCCCACAGCTGGGGTCTCACAGCCCATCAGCAAGCATTTATTAAATACACACTATATATGTGTCAAGTAGTGTGTGACACTACTTGACTCACAAAGAATTTACATTCTGTGAGGACAAATGTCAATGTGTAGAGATTATATACAAAGAAAAGAGCCCAGTCCACATTCCACAATAGTGTGCTATAGGATGCAGTCTCACATTTTTTCCTAAGAATTACACAATATGCATACTCAGTATATTCATTAGCGACTAATGATTTGCTGTTGTTGTTCAGTCCTTTCAGTTGTGTTCAACTCTTCATGACCCCATTTGGGGTTTTCTTGGCAAAGACAGTGGAGTGTTTTGCATTTCCTTCTCCAGCTCCTTTTATAGGTGAGGGAACTAAGGCAAACAGGGTTAAGTGACTTGCCCAGGGTCACACAGCTAGTAAGTGTGTATGAAGTCAGATTCGAACTCATAAGCATGAGTCTTCCTGACTCCAGGCCTGGCACTCTATCCACTGCACCACTTAGCTGCCTAACAAATTACAAAACAAGACAATATGTAATAGACAGGTCTTTCAGAGAGTTACTTATTACTCAGCAAACATAAAACTAAAAACTGCTGTCAAGTACTTCTCTCAAGCAAAATTTGATATAAAATCAGAAGAACTAAGACATCACTCCATTTAAGGAGGTTCTGCAGTTGTCTAAAGAGAACACTTCCTCAGACAAACCTCACATCAACGGCGAAGAAGGTTCCTGCGTATCTCACTGGTCTACCTTTTAAAGCATTATGTTGGCTCAACCTGAAGCAAAGCCAGAGTCCCACTCCCCACGTGTAATGTCTCCTGCAAACAAAATCCTCATCTTAACATGCTTACCTTGACAGTCGCTAAGAATCTGTCCAAAAGACTACTCGCCAAGGCCAGTGTTTCTGGGTAAAGGTTGAACTGGTGCTTAAGCTTGGCCAACCACCGGACAACCTCATCCCTCTGGGCTGGAGAAACGCTCTGTGTAGTGACAGCAAAGAAAGAGCAAAGTTAGCAGCCAATGCACACGCCAACAGGTTTCTATCAGAAAGGTTAGCAAATATTATGCAATTCCTATTGCACCTGGCTCCTACCCTTCGGCACCACCCCTCCCCCCCCAAGCCAGTGACTGCCAACTGCAAACAAAGGACAAGAGATGTCACATCTTTCAGGGCCATTTACCAAGAAGGGTTTCACTTTTTTCTTTACATAAAGAACTTTAATTGGGGGAGCAGCTGGTGTTCAAGGACTGAGAGACATGAATCTTTTGCTAAGCATTCCAGTGACAGAGGCAGCATGGATCAGTGGATAAAAGGCCAATGTGGGAGTCAGTGAGACCCAGAGTCCTTGCTTCTCTACGTTTAATAGCTAATGTGGACACGGGAAAGTCATTAAACCTCTCAGTGTTCGAGGGAGTGTGCACATGGAACATCACAGGTCCAAACCAAACACAAACATAAAAACTGGCAATAATTTCAGTCATTTAACCACTCAATGCCTGCGGTGGCTTTCTAAAGTACAGAAGAAAGGTGACAACCTGCATTGGTAAAAGGAAACAGATCTCAAGAAGCTCATAATCAAACTGGGCAAAAGGTTCCCACAAATAACTGGGTTTTACTTTTTCCAGATAATTGAAGGTTCAACCTCAAGGGATGAAACCTCTTAACACTAACAGCATTTGTGTAACTTTGGTGGTCGTACAAACATCTGTATTTTATAGAAAGGGAAACTGAGGTTCTGAGAGGGTTACCCAGCTGACAGGTTTCCTGACATCAATTCAATAAACATTTATTAAACATCTAGTGTAAATAAAGCACCAGAGACATAAAAGGAAAAAAAAATGTCCTGTCCTTAAAGGAGTTTACATGCTGTTGGAGGAACACAACGTGTTTGTAATCCAAGTACAATACTAGGTTATGTGAAGAGGGAGAGAGGATGGAGGGGTGGATAGATAAGGGAAGCCTTCACAGAAGAGGTGGCGGAGGACTGTCTGCAAATGCACAGAACTGGGAGATGGCGAGTCACGTTGGGGGAAAAACTAGAAAGCCAGGGGATGAACAATGAGGCAAGCAATGAGAGACACACATTCAGATGTGGCCACCATCTGGATTTGCTTCACATGATGGGATTTGTTTTAACACGGGAGTGCTTTTTTGTTTTGTTTTGTCTTGATTCTGGGGAGGGATGTGTGGGGATGAGTGATAGTGATGAAGCATTGCAAAAAGATAGAAGAGAAGAGAAGGGAGTTTGTAGGTAGACACAAATAAGAAGGACAACTTTGAAACCAACATACTGAATTTACTGGATGCTTAAGTTTGGTGCTAGGAACACAAAAGCCAAGAAAACTGCCCAGTTTCTGCCTTCAAAGTGTTTGCAATCTAGGAACTTCTAATTTACCAGCTCAGAGAACTTTCTTAAGAACTCTCTCCTAACTTTCTCCCTCTCCTTTGTCACAGTTCCTGGAAGCGACTTAATAATCAGGCCATGGCTCCATCTTTACATCCCCATGCTGTGGTACTTAGTAAGCACTTTTTTTTTTTTAATTGAATTGAACATGGGATAAGACCTGCCTATAAATACTGAAGAGGTAGAAAATAAGTGTATATGATGGAGGTCAGATACTGAAGAAGTCTGAAGAGATTCAAGAATGAATTCCTTCTGGCTTGGGGGAGGGAAGGAAATCAGGGCGAGAAACAGAACTTAAGCTGGGCTGTGAAGGAAAAGAAGCATGTGAACAGGAGGCAGAAAGGAGCAAGAAAGGAAGAACTCTGTGCAGAAAGACAGTTGGGGAGGGGGGCAGCTAGGTGGCACAGTGGCTACAGCAGCAGCCCTGGAGTCAGGAGGACCTAAGTTCAAATCTGGCCTCAGACACATAATGCTCACTAGCTGTGTGACCCTGGGCAAGTCACTTAACCCCAACTGCCTCACCCAAAAAAACAAAAAACAGAACAAAACAAAATGGAAAGACAGTGGGGACAGGAGAGAGGAAAAATGAAAAAGGCAACAGTGAATAGTATAGTTTTACTGGACTGTCCCATTTTGGAAAGTGAATGAAAGCCAAAAAATAAAACCGGAAAGGTATACTATCAAGATTGGAGTCGAGCTGTGAAAGGTTAGACTAATGAGTCTGCATGTTATTCAGTAAGCAAAAGTCCGATATTAACAATAAATGGTAATATTCCAATATCACCACCAGTTTACATTCACACAGACAAATAAAAATCATTCTTAGTCATAGAGGTAAATGATTTAAGGTTTTAAAAAAGAGAGAAAAAAGGATTACTATTCATTCCTATTTTGTAGTGGCCTTATTTATCAGGAAAAATTAATCAGCTCTTTTTCATCATGATTAAGACAAAACTGAAACCCAAAAAAGATTAGTCATAGAGCATCTGGCTTCTTTAAATGAGTCTAAGTCACTAGTTCAAAATAATTATCTAAGAACAATGGTTAGAAATCTTTGAGGAATTTTGGAGGACAGCAGCCAGAAGACTTCCAAACTTCAATCAATCAACATTTTTGAAGCTAAGTGCTAGGCACTGTGCTAAGCACAGAATATACCAAAAGAAATAGTGTGTGTGGGGGGGAACAGCCCCTTCCCTCCAGAAGGTTATGATCTAGCGGGGGAGACAAGATGCAAAAAAAAAAAAAATGCAAAGGAAGCTATATACAGGATGAATAGGAAATAATTACAGAAGGAAGGCATTAAAATTAAGAGGGGTTGGGAGAGCATTCCAGGCATGTGGGACAGCCCGAAAAAATGCCCAGAGCCAAGAGATCAGAGTGTCTTGTTCATGGAACAGCCAACCATGAAGACAGTCGTTGGAGTGAAGAGTATGTCGAAGACTAAACAGGTAGAAGGGAGTTAGGTTATGAAGGACTTTGAAAGCCAAATAAAACATTTTGTATTTGATCTGAAGGCAATAGAAGCCACTGGAATTTACTGAGGAGGAGGCTAACATAGTTAGACAGAAACTTATTTGCCTCACAAAGTCTGAAAAACCACAGAGACATGTAAATGTCTGATTTTTCAAAAGGACTTGAGAAAGTTGGTTTCCAAAACTTAGAAATAGTCAATTCAACATCAACATTTACCAGAACTCATTAATAAGTTAAGAGTTTACTTAGAAAAGTAAGCAGTGAAAAATGGAAAATACCCTATCAACCAAACAGGAAAGAGAGTTTAAATAACTCAGTATAAGAAAAAAAATACTCAAGAAGGCATAAATTAACTTCCAAAGAAAAAAATCTTGATGAATTTACACATCCTAACATACATTCAAAGGAAAAAGTGACTCCAATATTACATAATTTGTCTGTAAATCTAGACCACCCTACCCCTTCTCTGAAACAAAAATAGTCCTGAAACCCAAATCAGGAAGACAATAAACTAGAGAAAATGACAAATATCTCCAAAGAATAGCAATGTGAAAATATTCATTAAAATATTAGCAAAGGGGATATAGCAACATGTTTTAAAAATTATACAGTACAATCAGGGCAGATTTGTACTAGGAAAGCAAAGTTGGTGCAACATTAGGGAAACTACAAACATAACAGACCATAGCAATAGCAGAAAAAATAAAATCACATGATCACAAAATATCAACAGATGCAGAAAAAGCTTGACAAAATACAACATCCATTTGTGTTAAGAACATTAAAAAGCAAAAGAATAACTGGACCTTTATTTAATATCACCAACAGTATCTACCTAAACCAAGGGCTTAATTACACAGAACGAATAAATGCTAGAGCCCTTTTGATAACATCAGGAGGAGAAAACTATGATGTTCATTGTCCCCACTATTATTTAATATAGTTCTAGAAATATTAGCTAAGGCAATGAAACAAGATAAAATAAGTTGAGGCAATATGAGGAAAAGAAAAAACAAAAGTAATGGGGTTTTTTTTTGCAGATAATGATGATTTATTTCAAGAATTTTATAGATGCAACTAAAATTAACTGAAACAATACATAATGGAAAACAGCTTGGAAAAACTGAAAGAATTCTGATCAAGCAATGACCAGTCAAGAATCCAGCACACTGGAGATGAAAGAAACTCCCTCCCCCACCCCCAGGAGATACACAACTAGATGTACGTTTTCAGACAAGGACAAGGCACTGATTTGTCTTGTTTGACTGTACTTGTTCGTTACAAGGGAAGGCTTTAATTTTTGGAGAGGGGAAAAGAAGAGGTCTGTGTGAACAGACCTGTGATAGAATGGAAAGTGTCGATGAAACATTTTTTTTTTTAAATACAGAGAAGCTCAGAAGGAGACAGGTGAGCAAGGCCATCTTAGTCCTATTGTGTTCTACATCCATTTTCTATGGCAGTAGAAAGTGGGAAAAAGGGAAAGGAATTGAGCTGAAGAAGAAAGATGTTTAAAATTATCTAAGAAACTTAGAGGGATTTAGGCTAAAGAAGTAGGTTAAAGACTGAATTTAGGAGAAATTGAGTAAAATTTGAAGGAGAAAAACATCTCGAGGCCAAGATACTGGTCCAGATTCTAATTCCAAGTTGAAAAAGAAGTATCAAGGACAATTAAAAAGACTATAAAAGGATTAAGAAAGATCCAGGAAGGTCAGGGAGTAGAATGAGAAGTGGCAGACTCAAAATAGGCAAGACTGAGGTAAGTAAGAAAAAGTAACGGAATAATTAGAGGGTAGAATAAATTGAGATTGGTGGGTGGGGAAACTTGGTGAAACAGATCAAGTCTATGCCAGACTGAAGGGGAGTTGATGAGACTAAGGAACCTAAGTTGACTGGAATTGTCAAATTGTTAAGAGGTGACATAAGTTGTAATAGTTTTCACCAGGTGCTTAGTTAGGGCAGAGATGTGCATACACATAACCTTAAAAAAAAGGCTGAAAAGCTCAGTCAACACGGGAAGTAACAGAAATTTTGAGGTGATCTGGACTAAGTGTGTGCTCTGTATACTTCTTCACAGCATGGTGACTATTATCGGTATTCCAAAG